GGATCTCTAAATGTATCCTGAACTGATCCTGAGGCTTGCAGGACAAGCATACTTCAGCGTGGGCCAAATTTGGTAGAATTGCTAGCCTCTTCAAAAAAATCAACAAAAGAAGTCAAAGCAATCCCAATCAGTTGGTCAGAATGTGAGGGCTTAAAAGCCCAAGAAGGTAAGAACACTTGAAGGGGAAAACAGTTCTCTGGATTTCGCAGAGAAAATGATTGACTTGAATAAAGGTCAGCAACCTGGCATGCTTGCCCTAGGAGTCACCAAGAAACCATTGTGGATTCAAACAGGCCTAGATTCCAATTCCCACTCCCTCATGTGCAAGCTCTGAGCCTTGCACCATTTTACAAATGGTTTCCTAATTTTAAAAATGAAGGTAATGGTATGAATTTTGTAAGGCTTTTGGGAAGGTTTGTGAGATTGTATCAGGTCCCCCCTCACTAGGTCATCTCACTTGGCTCTTCATCGTTGCCAGGACTACTAATTATCTTTGCTTGTTCCACACCTGCTTCCCGAATAGCCTCCCTCTTTGCAGTCATTCCTTCCCCTCCTTCTAAACTGATTTCATCTAAGAGGTTTCTACCCCAAGCTAATTTCTTTTTCTTAATTCCATATTCTAGATCAAATTCATCTCTATCTAGTTTGTAACACACTCATCTGTACTTGTTTATGAGTGGCATTTGTGGCCTTGTAATTGCTTTTTATTGTAATGATTTATCTGGAAAGCTAAATAGTAAATTCCTTGAGGACAGATGTATCTTCCTCCTACTTTGCTGTTTGCATTCCCTTTCCCAGCATGCCTATTACATTAGCATGTCAAGGTAGATGTGCCTAACAGACAGATGCAGGCCTTCCTAACCACCATTGTTGCCTGGTGGTACATACACCTGAGCATCCAGATATGTTCCTCCTAGACAAGTAATAGAAATCAGAGGACTGCTGCCACCTCTAGTGAACCCAGCAGAGAATAAATGCAATTTACACAAAACATTTGTACTTGGCAGCCTATGTTTTCCATCTCTGTCAACAATGCTAAAGGTAGGCAATATTTTGAACTGAGGGCTTCATCCTTGCTAGGCAGGTGCTCTACCACTTGAGCCCCGCCCCTAGCCTCTTCCCCCTTTTGGGGGAGACAGGTCTCACTACATAGCCCAGGCTGACCTGGAACACATGATCCTCCTGCCTCAGCCTCCGAAGTGTTGGATTATAAAGAGCATGCCACCACACTTAGCCCTAGTCTCATTTTATAATATGAAAACTGAAATTCAGAGAGGTCACGCTGTAGAAGGTAGCAAAGACAGTGTTCAGGCGTGGGTCTGCTACTTCCAGGTCTAGTGCTGTTTCAGTGACTGCTGTGCACTGAGTCACTGGAGGACATTTGACTAACTCTATTCCTGAAACTTGTCCAGCTGTGGCTCAGCACCCTTGGGTTTAGAACTGGATTGATCTGGTCACATGGCAGAATTAGAAGAAAAAAGACTAGCTGACTACAATATATAGTGGTAATTTATATTGTATATTTATATATTTTTGCAAACATAAGAACATATCACTTATATACTATATTTGTACTCTAGTGTTCAATTCAAATTGACTAAAAATACTAGCATACAGGGAGCTGGGGATATAGCTCAGTGATAGAGTGCTTGCCTAGCATGCATGAAGCCCTGGGGTTGACTCCCACCCTGGCAAAAAAAAAAAAAAAATACTAGGCCCTATGACGTAATCTCCTTTTACAACTCTTTTTTTTTCAGCTTTTGTCATTGCTGCTCACTACGGAGGGTGAGGTCAGGAGATTTCCCAGATTACCTCTAGAGTGTCTCCAGGGTGGCACACCTCAGTTCTCCAGTTTGACTACTGGCAGAGTCTGGCAGTGATCAGAAAAAGGATCAGGCTTTGTTTGATAAGTCTAAGGGACTAGTCCAGTTCAAAAGTCACCTTACATCTACTGAGCAGCTAAGAACACAGACAGCTAAGAAATGACCTAGGTTCTTAGGTCCTGGCTTAGATTAAAAGTTCTCTAGGTCACTACTACCGAAATCATGATTCTTCTGATTCCCTGCCTCCTCTCCCCCTTCCTGCACTGGAGGAGATTGGACCTACGTTGATTTATATTTGAGATTCAGATTTTAAAACACCATTGTGTCCTGAAAAAACAGTACAGCTTTGGAGTTCAAAGCTCTGAGTTCAAATTTTAGGTAGAGTCTAAAATGTAAAGGGAACCATAGGCAGTTACTTTTACTTCTACAGCTTGGGGTTGTAGATTTGTAAAAAGAGAAGACTAATTGTCAGGCATGGGGCTGGGGTATAGCTCAGTGGTAAGGGATATGTGATCACATGTAAGGTCATGGGTTCAATCCCCAGCTCGCACGCACGTGCAGACACACACACACACACACACACACAACACAAACCAAGTGTGATTGTGGAGATTTTACTAATTAGGTAAAGCACCTGGCACAGAGCAAAGATTCTGTACATGTAAACCTCCAGGTGTGCTTCTTCCAGTACATGCCTGGATCACTGTTTCTAAGTGGTCAGCTGGCAGAGGAGGGTCTATAGTCTTAGTGAAGCCCCAACTCAGCCAACCAAAGGTGCTCTGCAAAAGCACACCTGATGCCCAGCTGCAGCTACACTGCATAAATAATTCTTATTTGTCACTGATCAAATCTTTACAAACTTGTATTTGATAGGATAAGAATCACAGTTTTAAGAGAAGAGAAATGGGAAGACAAATAGCAAAGCTCATAGATGGTTATACATTAGAACCTTGGAGAGAAACTTAAGGAAATGGTCTTTCCCTTGGAGAAAGGGAGAGTCAAAGTGAATTTCAAGACCATGCATATGGGATACTAAGCAGGATGATGACTCTAAGCAGTAAGGCCAAAAAAAAAAAAAAAAAAAGAAAAAAGAAAGAAAGGAAAAGAGTTGAATTAGCATTACAGAGGAGAGGGAGGGAGAATCTTCTCTAGAAGATTGTTATTAAAAACTGAGATAGGTGACTGTGGAAGCATATGGAGTTATCTTTCCCCATAAAAATAAGAGCCCCTGTTTGGGTTGGGTAGTCTAAGTAATCTTAGTGGGGGAAGAAAGGGGAATGCAAATAGTGCAGGGCTGGTTCTTGAACCCTGGAGATTACAAGTTAAAGTTCTTGGAAAGATTTCAAAGGAAAGCAGCGGCATTGTCTCAGACTGGGAAACATACAATCAGAATGCTAATGGAAGAAAGAAGGTAGGGGAAGCGCTGGCCAAGGGGAGGGAAGAAGGCAATCTCTTCCATTGTCACAGATACCACTCCACTCCTGGTGAAGCCAGCATCTTACATTTCTTTCTGTGGGCCTCAGTTTCCTTTTCTGTAATATCAAGTGCTTGGATTCAGCATTCTTTTGAATTTCTTCCAGTCTTGAACTTGTGTTCACAAAACTGATCCAGAGAGTGTGGGTAAAGCTACTTCAGCCCACAAGCCAGAATGTGGGCTGTACAAATGGGACCTACTCAGAGAAAGGGGTCAATGGCTCTGCCTAGGTGAGGCCTCGGCCTCTGAAGTCAATGGGGGGGGGGGAGCCAAATCCCTGCTTCTCAGCCACCTGCACAGTTGCTTATCTTCTCTGAACGTCAATATCCCCATTTGTAAAACAGAGACAATAATAGCCCATTTGACTGTTGCGAGTTTAAGTTAGGCAATGCAAGGAGAACATAGCATAATATTTAATAGCTCCCAAGTCTGAGGCATGTAAACACCAACAAGATGTGTTAATACCAGAATTACAAGAATTTTTAAAGCTTTCTATTTTTTCATGCTTTTATTTCTATCTTTATTAAATTTGTAGAATCTATTGCAACCAAATCATGTGGTTTGGTATTGTGGTAGTGGTGTTTGTTTTTCACACACTTGCCTTTTCTTGTTTTGATGATATGATCCCAACTCATTCAGCTTTCCTGAATATCCTATTGGCCTCTATAAAGCCTTTGTCCTTTTTCATTTGTTAAGGAGAACTAAGAGAGTGATAATTTTGCAGTGCCTGTATGCTGATGGCTTTGGGACTAGGCTTTGAACCCACGACTTCGCACTTGCAAAGCAGGCGCTCTACCGCTTGAGCCACACCTTCAGTCCATTTTGGGATCTAGTGAACTATTTGCCTGGTCTGGCCTCGAACTTCATTCCTTCAGATTTCAGTTTTTTAAGTAGCTAGGATTATAGGTGTAAGCCACCGACGCCTGGCCTACTACTGGGATTCTTAGCAAGCCCCAGTTCCTGAGATCTCTGCCATCCCTGTTAATATAGGCAATGAGGGCTCCTCAGTGTTCTGTGGATGTCTCTTTTAGCTGTTCTTGGCCTATCCTTTTGCACCTTCATCTTGCTTGTTTTTAAGAGTGTTTTCAACTAGGAAACTCCTATTTGACTCTTCAAAAGGCTGCACTACCCACCCCCAGTTTCATATCCCTGACAGACCAGGGTGTGCGCTGGGTCGATACAGAACTCAGCTCCAACAAGCTGAGAGGAAGGCACGTAGCCTGGGCCAGGGTGGGGCACCAGGTTATGAGCGGTCTCCTGCCTTTGGGTTTTCTTCCCCGCAGGGGACACCGTAGGCGGCTGTGCGGTCCGGCCACTGCCCCCCGCCCCTCGCGTCCGGCCGCGTCGTGGGTTGCGGTCTCCGTGGGGGTGGCAGCTCCTGTCCGTGAGGTTTGCGCCTGGCCGGGCTCCCCAGAGAGCCGCGAGGAGCCTGGAGGCGAGGCCTGGGCGGGGTGGGGCGCGTCCGGGCGGGGAGGGCAAACGCAGGCAGTGCAGGGGGCGCAGAGGGCAGCGGGCGGGAGGACACGCGGCCGAGGAGCGCGCGGGATGAGGGCTGGCTAGTGTCGGGGCCGCCCGCCCGAGGGGGAGGAGGCTGTGCCGCCCTTGCTGCAGGTTCGCTGTCGAGCGCGCAGGAGGCAGGGACATGGGTAGGGTGCGGTCTGCGCGGGACCCGAGCCCGGATCTCTTCTATTTCCCCTCTCACTCGACCCCGGGCTGCGCTGCAGACGGCAGCAGCTCCTGCTCCGCCCGAGTCGTCTGACCGCCGAGCCGGGGTGCTAACCGCGGGTCCCTCCAGCCCGCCGGCCCGGCCAGCCCAGCCCAGCCCGCCGGCCCGCAGCCCCGCCGCCCGCCGCCCCCCGCCGCCGCCGCGTTGCCAAAACAAACGGGCCGGCCTATTTATTGGCGGCCGGCGAGCCGGGCTGCTCAGAGTCGAGGCGCCGAGGGGGACAGCGCGCCGCCACCAGCCAGGGCCTCGGGCCCCCACCCCGCACCTGAGTACCGCCGGCCTTGAGCCGCGCCGCGCCGCCCATGGCGCCCCCGCCTGGAGTCCCCCGGAGCCACCCGGACGCCTGAGTCCCCGCAGCGATCCCACCGACCCGCCCACCCATCAGCACCCGGCGCCCTCGCCCGCCGCTCTCCCGGGCTCCCTGGCCATGTCTCCCGCCTGGCTCCGGTCCCGACTGCGGTTCTGTCTGCTCCTGTTGCTGCTGGTGATGGTGCCGGCGGCGCGGGGCTGCGGGCCGGGCCGGGTGGTGGGCAGCCGGCGGCGGCCGCCGCGCAAACTCGTGCCGCTCGCTTATAAGCAGTTCAGCCCCAACGTGCCAGAGAAGACCCTGGGCGCCAGCGGGCGCTATGAAGGCAAGATCGCGCGCAGCTCCGAGCGCTTCAAGGAGCTCACCCCCAACTACAATCCCGACATCATCTTCAAGGACGAGGAGAATACGGGTGCCGATCGCCTCATGACCCAGGTGAGCGCGATCTGCCCTTCCAGCGCGCCACCGAAGCATTGCCACCTGCCCGGCCCTACCCGCCCCACTGGCACCTTTTCTCGACTGCCTGGCACGCCCCCTGGCACCTGTCCCTCTCGCCAAGCCCTGTGCCTTCTGCTGGCCAGGGGTCCTGGAGGGAGTGTCGGCATCCCCGGGTTCCCCCCCGCCCCACTCCCCGGAGTCTGTGAAAAGAGCTTCCCGCTGCCAAGCCCATAGCCCAGCAGGTTGGCGGCGGCCCCTCTGCCCCGGAGTGCTGGCAGCTCAGGTCAGACGCGGCACCCGGAGGTACCTCGATCCAGTTGCTTTCTGAGCCTCCGGGGTCCACGCAGTCAGTCCCTCCCGGCTTAACATTCCTCGCCGCGGCGCGCTTTTCCTTTCGAAGCCATTTGGCACCCCTGAGGCGAAGAAGCTCCAAGCGCTAGGGGCCCCACGGCCTTACGCTCTAGGTTCCTTCGCTGCCCCCTCCTGGAGCTGTATCCTGCCTGGGTCTGGGATTAAGGAACAGCTAGGAAGAGTTGAGCGGGGAGGCGGAGGTGGCAAAGGGAACCCGCTGAAGAGCCCACGTGTCTGTCGCGAGAGCAGAGCGGCGCGGCTGCGGTTAAAGGGTGGGGTGCCGGAGCCTTAGTGCTCTGGGACCGAACGCGGGGTTTCCCTGAGCCTGGTGGCAGGCCCCGGAAGGTTTAGAAGACAGTAGGGATGCCGAGCGAGGCAGGGAGCAGCGCCGACTCTAGTCTCTGCATGCTCGAAGCTAGACCCACGCTCTGCCATAGTGCAGGGACGCAAATTTCCTTCCCTGAAGTGTGGTGCGCAAAGAGCCTCCGCTAGCAAGCCGCAGGCTCTCTAAAGCCTTTAGGAAGCGCAGTCCAGCATGCGTTCTGGCGCCCGGGCCGGCCGGCGGATGTCGGGGCCGAAGGTTGGCTGGTGGCCGGGCCGGGCCGGGCGCCGAGGAATGCAGATAAGGATCCGGGCCACAGGCTGGGCAATCATTGACAGCGAGCGCCCGGGCTCTACACCCGAAGGAGGGGGCAGTGGAGGAGAGACGGGCGGGAAGCTCAAGGGACGGATTTACGGGGGTGGGGTGCCTAGAAGCTGGGTGACCAGGACCAAGAAGGAGCATGCGGAGCTCCCTCCCCCGGCAGTGAGCGTCCCCAAGCCAGGCGGCGTGCCGGGGAGTACCGGCCAGACCTTGGGTTATAGCTGTTGTTGGCTCCTGGGAGGCCGAGTCCAAGGGTCTGTGGGGCCCCGGCTCTGTGGGGGTGGGGGTGGATTGAGACATGGGCTGCCCCCTTGGAGCCTCTCACTTTGAAGTCGAGGACTGGTGGAAGATCCCCTCCTCCCTGTAGGTGGAAGCCCCACCTGTCAACTGCACGATCCCTTGGGCTATAAGGACCCAGGCACACGGGGAAGCAGCAGGGACCTGTGAGCTCTCCCGTCCTTCGCCCCCCCCACACCCCGCCCCCAGGGTGCGGCTCTACTCCCTCTCCACGTGAGAGGTTCCTTGGATCCTTTCCTAAATAAGGGGCAACGCACCAGCTGGGAGGTGCGGAGAGCTGCCCCCCCCCCCCGTGCCACTTGCAGAGGGAGACGCTCCGTATCCCCCCTCCCCATCAGGCGGGCCGGGGACTACACTAGCCCAGCAGCTTCTGGTTCTCTGTCTGCTGTGTCTTCAGTGCAGGTGCAGGCGGGCTTGAGCTCATAAGAGGGTCCCTGCAGGAATGCTCTGTGGCGTTCCAGGGGTTCAACACACCCCCTTATCCCGTGCTGCTGGGGCGCTCTGCACCTGCCGTGCTTCTAAGGACTGTAGTCCCCGGCCTCAGTCCTGAGGCTGCGCTGACACCTACTGGGCACCTCTGGTTCTCTGTCTGCTGTGTCTTCAGTGCAGGTGCAGGCGGGCTTGAGCTCATAAGAGGGTCCCTGCAGGAATGCTCTGTGGCGTTCCAGGGGTTCAACACACCCCCTTATCCCGTGCTGCTGGGGCGCTCTGCACCTGCCGTGCTTCTAAGGACTGTAGTCCCCGGCCTCAGTCCTGAGGCTGCGCTGACACCTACTGGGCACCTCGGGCCTTGCATGCCTAGCAGGCCAGCCGCAGGCAATCGACTCCGTTACTACCTCCTCCTTTCCCGCCGCTGGCCCGCCCTTGTGCTTAAGCAAGACAGAGGAATCCGATGATGGAAAAGTGTAGAGTAGCCAGATTTGTGGAGAGACCAAAGACCCAGCAGGGGAAAGATTACACCGGAGGAAAAGCGAGCTCCACCTACCAGAGAAGAGTGCCCTGAAGGTGCTTGCGTCCATACGCCCTTCAGATTTGTGGCGCCACCATGTGGTCCAGTTGTGTGTGTGTCGGGGGGGGTAGTTCGATGCTAGAATGGGAGGGAGCACTTTAGAGCCCGTTATTCCTAAGGGGGAAGGACAGAGACCCTCCCCGGTTTTCCGACTTCGATGAGTGATGGAAAGTCTAGGGCGAGGCTGCACCGGCAGCTGCACTTGGGCCGGCCGGCCCCCTAACTCAGCGCAATTCTTCTCCCAGCGCTGCAAGGATCGCCTGAACTCGTTGGCCATCTCAGTCATGAACCAGTGGCCGGGTGTGAAGCTGAGGGTTACCGAAGGCTGGGATGAGGACGGCCACCACTCGGAGGAGTCCTTGCACTATGAGGGCCGCGCGGTGGACATCACCACCTCAGACCGCGACCGCAATAAGTATGGACTGCTGGCGCGCTTGGCGGTGGAGGCTGGCTTCGACTGGGTATATTACGAGTCCAAGGCCCATGTGCATTGCTCCGTCAAGTCCGGTGAGCCGCTGCCGGGGGGCTGGACCCGGGGCCGGGGCCGCAGGGAGTGGGCAGACAGCACAGTGCCTGCCAGGGCCGAGAAGGTGAAGATACCCAAGCGGGGATGGAGGCAGGGACCTCGGGGAAGAGGATGTCGGCGGCCTCGCTCCCCGCGGCTGCTCTTGACTGCCTGCTCCTCCCACTCTTGGTAGTGTCATGACAGGACCCTAGGGAGTAGGGCTTTTCTAAGCACAGCTGGGTGCTGACCTGGTGGTCCACAGTCCAGAGCCTGCCACAGGATATGCAAGACCAGCAGGCTGGACAGATGGAGGAAGCCAGGCTGGCAGCCGCACCACCTCATCCAGGCCCGTGCAAAACAAAGCATGGTGGGGGACAGGTGTCAGAGTGTGCCCAGACACCAGTATGCCTGACCAGGAGCCCAGAGGTTCAGAACCTACCACCCAGCTGCAGGTCAGCCCTCCCGCAGGGGCGCAGGCGTCCCCAACCTCTCCCTCAGAGCCCTGAAGCTGGACATTTTGGGGCAAAGCCAACAAAGAGAGCCAAAATAAACAAAGTGGACTCAATAAAGTGGATTTTCCTAGATTGGCCGCCTTGTTGATGAGAATTAGTAGGTGCTGGAGCTTTGCCCCTTCCCCCAAGTCTCACCAGTGCCCTCAGTCACCTACACTGAGCCCAGTCATGGAAGTTCACATGGTTCCTGTGTGGGTCGCAGCCTGGTGCCATCTGGCTGTAGGCTTTGCCCTCCACACTGGTACCAGGTAGTAGTCGCATTCACTGACCTGGTACCCTGAGACCAGGCCTGCTTTTTTAGTATTCCAGATCTGACCTGGGCTCACAATGGTGATCACACCAACACCCAGCCACAGTCTGACCCTTCTACTCAGCACCTTCCCCACCAACTGTGTGTTCTCCAAGTCATATCCAGCCATCACCTGCAAACACTGGCCCAGGGCCAGCTCTCCAAGTGGCCACTTCCATTCATGACCCCCAAACTGTTCTCCATCCCACCTGCTTATACCACCATGTCCTGTCTCCTCACAGTCCCCCCACAAGGAAGCAGCACATAAACTAAGATGATAATTTTGTCCTTGTCCTGGACCTGCCCCTGACCATTCACTCTCAGGCTGCCCCAGGAGTCTGTGTTTGCCCTCTGGGTTGACCTTATTCTCCTTTCCATAGATTCAAGGCCAGCTCTGTCACAGAATTTGTGGTGTCAGTATGGGAGAGCAATTTTTTGGAAGCATCTGAAAACAGGCCATCTAGACCCCAGAGGAGCTAAATGACTTCCCATCTTCATAAGGGTGCAGCTTTCCTGGGGTCATGTCATAACCAACCAATGATTCTGCTGACCTCTGACCTCTGTGCTTCACAGCATTGTTTAGGATGTGAACAGATGGGGGTGTCCCCTGGGCTGAAGAAGGGCCCCTTCCCTCTCGCCCACAGGATCTTGGAGCCCAAGTATATTCCTCTCATTGACAAAGGGCTGGGTTGGGGAAAAGGGGAGGCAGAAGATCACAATGTGGGCTGGGGGTTGGAATATGGTGATAGGGGCTCTGGGAACCAGAGACATTCTGGTTGGGCTAGGGCGACTAGGGGAGGGATGCTGTGCCTGGGAATCCAAGCTCCCCAGCAGTAACACCTTCATGTCCGTTCTTCCCACAGAGCACTCGGCCGCTGCCAAGACAGGTGGCTGCTTCCCTGCTGGAGCCCAGGTGCGCCTAGAGAGTGGGGCACGTGTAGCCTTGTCATCTGTGAGGCCAGGAGACCGGGTGCTGGCCATGGGGGAGGATGGGAACCCCACCTTCAGTGACGTGCTCATTTTCCTGGACCGTGAGCCAGACAGGCTGAGGACTTTCCAGGTCATCGAAACCCAGAATCCCCCACGCCGCCTAGCACTCACGCCTGCTCACCTGCTCTTTACTGCTGACAATCACACAGAACCAGCAGCCCACTTCCGGGCCACTTTTGCCAGCCATGTGCAACCTGGCCAGTATGTGCTGGTAGCAGGAGTGCCAGGCCTGCAGCCTGCCCAGGTGGTGGCTGTCTCCACACATGTGGCCCTCGGGGCCTATGCTCCACTCACAAGGCATGGAACACTGGTGGTGGAGGGTGTCGTGGCTTCTTGCTTTGCAGCTGTGGCTGACCACCACCTGGCTCAGTTGGCCTTTTGGCCTCTGCGACTGTTTCCCAGCTTGGCATGGAATAGCTGGGGCCCTGGTGAGGGTGTGCACTGGTACCCTCGGCTGCTCTACCGCCTGGGGCGTCTCCTGCTAGAAGAGGGTAGTTTCCACCCGCTGGGCATGTCTGGGGCAGGAAGCTGAAAGGATTCTATCACTGCCGTCCCAGAACTGCTGTGCTGGATTCAAAAGCCTCCCTATCAGGAATGCTCTTGCCCTGAAAGGGATCTGAGCTGAGGACACTGGTCCCCGTCTTCTCCTCCAGAGTGGGGACACACCATTGAGACTTGACTGGGCAATGCCAGTATCTTGTTGAAGTGATAGAGCTGCAAGCTGAGCTGGCAAGGTGGTGGTGGGCTTTCCTTTCCTAAAGACCTTGAGATCAACCAGCTCTTGCTACAATTTTTCACACCCCACCTCCCACCACAGGGAGGGCCCATTCCATCGGTCTTTGAACCTCTTACTCCAGTCTTTCTCGGGACCTGGGTTTCTGACTTCACTGTTGGCAACAAACCACAGTATGAAATTTCAGCCCGTAGCTGGGCTGGCTTGCACCTCAGTTGATGCTGCTAGATTCCCTGGGAGCCAGCAGGGAGCTGGTGGACTCATTGCTGCCCAAAACTGAAAGGCCACAGCCAGCCTGGTCATCCTGAGGCATGACCTGCCCCACTGACCACACTCCACCGGACACATACTAAGACTGTTGCTGTCAGTGGACAAAGTTCTCTGTTCCGGCCAATGTGACCATAGTACCTGGGTCTGGGGGAGGGGCCTGAATGCCCTTGCCAGCCCTGCCCAGGCTAAGCTCCCTTTTCTGCTGAACCATGCCCCCCACCCCCTCCTCCGGTCAGTCTCCCCCACCTTATTTATTGGCATGGAGGGGGAAGCCCATGGGAGAATTTTGGGAATGTTTTGGTCTTTCCTTCCTTTTGTAATAAAAATTATTTAAGTTGTTAGAGCCATGGAGTCTAGAATGATGAGTGGGGCAATTCACACATTTTGGAAGAATAATGAGTGGGGCAATTCACACATTTTGGAGCCATGGGCAGGTCTGAGTAGGGGTTTGCTTCCTTCCTCGATGCTTTCCCCCAAGGACAAACCTCCAAAGCTCCTACCCTCTCTGTAGGCCTTGTTTTACCCAGCAGCTCTGCGGTCCCAACAGAAAGCCATGCTCTGTGCTGGGTAAAGCTTTTGCACACTGGTCCCAAAGTTTGCCCTACACATGGTTGGACCAGAGAAAAAACTGAGGTAACTAATCCATGGTCACTTCATGCATCTAGAACCATGTCATCATGCTGTAATCAAGATCATTTTGCTTATTCTGGTCATTATCAGGGGCCTGGGTTTCAGACTCTTTGCTATTGGTAGTGAATGATGGTATGAAAAGGTTCTTTGGAATTCACATTTTTCTTGTGGCCCATTATGACTTCTTGGACAAGTCAAAGGTCCCTAGGCTAACAGTTGTCAAACCTCAGAATTACCTAGGCATCTTATTTACAGCAGATGCCTGACCCCAATTCCAGGATTCTGCCTTAACAGATCCAGAGTGAAATCCTATGGTGTCCAATAAAGACAGGGACATTTGATGTCTATTGCTCTTAAGTGGACTTCCTCTCGGAAGTGTCTGTCTCTTCAGACAAAGAAGGTAGTAGAGGTTCAGATAAAGACTGAATTCAGGCCCTCAAAAGGCCAACTTTCACCAGGCATGGTGGCATACACTTGTAATCCCAGTTACTCAGGAGGTAAAGATAGGAGGATCACAGTCCGAAGCCAAGCTGGGCAAAAGCACGAGACCCTATCTAAAAATTAAAAGGACTGAGGGTATGGCTCGAGTGGTAGAGAAGGAGAACGAGGAGGGGGAGGGGGAGGAGTCATCCCAGGTATGCTTTAACTGGTCTACTCCCTCCAGCTAGGATGGTGGTAGGAAAAGATTCTGTGGAGTTCACATTCAATTAAAAAAAAAAAACCTTGTAGTGGGAGTAGGCCCTATAGCTTTTCTAGGGATCCTGAGAAGGAAGGGGAACAGGAGACAAGGAGAGACAGCCTAAACAACCATCCTTCACAGCTGCAGTATGATGGCCCCATTCCCTTCCAACCTTTGTCTGCCAAAGCCCAGAGAAAGGTTACCCACACACTTTGGTCTGGGAAGCTACAGACCCAGTTCCTGTCTCTTCTCTTGGGCCCAAGCTTATCCCCAACCTTGAGGTTCATCCATAGTCAACATTTACTGTGTGCTCTCTGTGTTGGGTCCTGTGACCGAGTAGGGGAAGAGTCAGTGCCTGCCTTCTGGTAACTCCCAGGGATGGAAAAGTATGGGAGACAAGGATGTCCACACCATGTGCTACTCATGCTGTAAGTGACATGCTCACATGGACTACAGGGGTCCCATGAAGGAACCGGTAGCTAGAAAGACTTGTGAAGGCAAGGTTGCTCCAATTGGGGCAGGAAGGAGTTTGCCTGGCAGGTGAGAGGAAAGAAGGTGTGTAGTAAGTCAAAGGTTTGGAGGCCTGAGTGTCCCAGAAGGTTGGAGAAAACACTATTAGGCCAGCATTGCAGTCGTGGGGGTGCATGTGCCTTGGCAAAAGCTGAAGTGAGAGGTAACAGATGAAAGAGCCTGGTTTCCACAAATTTGGCCTTAATCCCAAGGGTCTGCAGAACACCAGGAAGGCTTGAAGTGGGGTCAGAAACCAGATGGTTTCTGAAAGTTCTGGCTACAATATGGAGGACAGACTAAAAGGGGCAATAGGGGAAGCAGGGAGACCATTAGTTGAGGAGAGAAGTGATCTGAACTAGGAAAAGTGTCCATGGGTCAGAAACAGGTCACAAATTGTAGATATTGAAGCTAGGATTGAAGCCAAGGTTGAATGAGCAGTGAAGAGAAGAAAGGGCCCAAGTCAACTCTGGTGTTTTTAAGCATGAGACCCAGCTCTCCCACTGAGGTCACCCTTGACCTCAGTCCTCTGGCCGGCCTCAGTGTCTGTACCTGCAAGGGTGACGTCCAGAGCTTTCCCACCGAGATATCCCTTCTCCTGTTGCCAAAGGCTGGCCTGCCTGGGTTGAAGTGACTCTCCAGGCACCTGTTGTCTCTTCCTGTGATCCCAGCACCTTAGTCCACTTAGTGCTGCTAAAACAGAATACTACACATTAGGTAATTTCTAAAGAAAAGACATTTATTGCTCAGTTCTGGAGTCTAAATGTCCACTCACTGATAACTAAACCATTCCCATGGTATCGTCATTGATCCTGGCATGACGACAGAACCCTTACCACCTAATCATCTTACAGGTCCCACCTCTCAACACTGTTGCATTGGGGATTAGTTTCCGATACATGAATCTTGAGGGACACAGCGAAATCATAGCAAATCCTTCCCCACGCACCTGGGACGTTTATGTGGAAGAATTCGGTGTAGCCCCTATAGCCCAGTTCAGTCAAAGTGCAAGAGCTATGCCTAAGTCCACAGGTCCTGGAGAAAAAGTAGGAAAACTTCCTGGCTGTGAGGTCTTTGGAGCTGCCTGGGAAGGCTGACCTCATCATAGGGGCCCAGTGTACCTAGGCTCCCCCTGCCTGTCTGTGCTTGGGCCTCTCTGTAGGTACCCACTGTATCTACAGTCCTTACAGCCTCCTCTCTCTGGTTTGGAAAACCTCATTCACACTGGGAGTGGCTCTTTGGAAGCCTGCACCCCTATGGGTGCTACCTGCTGGGGGGCTTCTTGCAGTAATCGGCTCTGTATTGGGAAGGCTGAACTCAAAGCAACAATCTTTCAAGCAGCTGACTTGATGCTAGCATCTGCGGCTCCTTTGAGGGAACAGGAAATAGTGCCTTCTATTGAAAAACCAGGACCCTGAGTTACCTGGGTAAAGGTAGGTGAATAGATCATCAGGGGCTGCTCCATGGAGTGGACCTTCAGGGCAGGTTCAGGGACTGGTAGTGTGGTTGGGGCTAGAAGCGCCAGGAGAACTTGGATTGAGCTAGTGTGTGTTGGGGGGGATGCACCTCACAGCAGGGGTGGGGCCAAGGTCCTAGTGTGAAATGCCTGAGCAACCTACCACAGATATGGGACTCCAGTAATGGAGGTCTTTGAGGGTGAGCACAGGCCCTGCTTCCTGTCTGGGAGGGTGCCCCCACTCGGGTAAACCTGCCTGGCAGTGGCAGCTCCTCCACCCTGTGCCCTCTGGTCTCTGGGTGGCTGCACCTCCTGGGGCTTAGCCCCATGCCCCACACCCCAGCCTGGTTCTCAAAGCTTCTTTGTTCCACAGACTGACCCTAGCCAGCCTGGATCTGATAAGGCCTCCTTGGGTAGATAGCAGACCCGCCCTGAGCACTGATTGACCTGAGCCACACCGGCTGCCTCGCACGCACTCATAGTCCTCCCCAGCTAGGCAGAGATACTGGGGCCCTCCTGTCCAGGTTGGGGCAGGTTTGATCTCTGGACTGGCACTACCTACAGCCATTTAAGACTCCTTACATTCCATGGGGAAGCAGGATAGGAGAATTATCATGCCCGTTTCAGAGAGGAATGAATTAAAGCTCCAAGAGAGGAAACACCTTGCCTGTGCCCAGTTCTTTGTCAGTTAGGAACTCCTATTATGAGCCAAGTGTGCTAGTTGTGCTATTTACATCCCTGCTTTTAGTCCTGCAAGCCGGTAAAGTGAGGGTGCTCCCAATTCCTCCTTTGCACATGAAGAAACTAAGGCCCAAATAATACATTAGCAGAATCCAAACCAGAACCCAGTTCCTTTGCCGCAGCAAAGTAGTGAGGTAGGAACTGATGAGTCCCCATCCCTGGGGAGCTGGAAGAAGGTACTCCAGCCTCAATCTAAAGGACCTGATGGGGCGGGCTTGGGCAGAACCCTGTTGAAGGTGTTCTTGGAGAGGTAATGTTTGACATGCTGTAAGGGAACTCCGGGTAGGGTGTGGAGTGGTTAAAATATGTCCACAAATTCTTTTTTTTATTTGGTGGAACTGGGGTTTGAACTCAGGGCCTCATGCTTGCTAGGCAGGCATGTTACCACTTGAGCCATTTGCCAGTACTTTTTTGTGTTGGGTGTTTTTGAGACAGGGGCTCATGAACTATTTGTCCAAACTCATGAACTATTGGCTTCAAACCACAATCCTCCTGATCTCTGCCTCCTGAGTAGCTAGGATTACAGGCGTGAGTCAACTGGTGACAGCTCACAAATTTTTATATTCTTAAGAGGCAGGGTCTGAGGCTAGTTCAGAAATATCATGCGGCTTCTATCTGCTTCTACACTTAGAGTGCACCTGCCTGTGGATAGGTGCTCTGGTCCCTGGCCTAGTGAAGCAGTCAGCCAATAAGCAGCAGCAACCTTCAGCTGTGGGAGTGAACCACCTGTGGCTGTACCCCTGATGAACACCAGGATGCAGCTGCGTGAGAGACCCCAGGCTAGAGCTGCCTGACCAAGCTCTGAATTCCTGACCCATAAAACCATAAGTGAGGCTGGGGTACCACCAAAAAGAGAAAAAAAAAAAAACCTTAAGCAAAACAAAATGATTGTTCAGCAGCTTGACATTTTGGAGTAACTTCTTACATGGCATAAGTAACCAGACAAACCAAAGAGGAAATGGGGACTGAGCACATCATCTCTTGGGACTTTCCAGAAGCCATTAACACAATTTGACCCAAAGGCTTTTGGAAATGAAGCCTTGGTGAGGCCGGAGGAAGTGTGATGCCCTTCACCATCTGAAGGGACAGCTTGAGAAGACACTAAGAAGCATTAAACTCGAGGCAGATGGTGATGTGGGCAAAGGGAAGGATTGGAGGAGCACATCTTCCACACTCAATAAATTGACAAAATGTGTGTTTGCTCTTCTGGCAGGATCTCTAATAATAGCAAACTCTTGAGCAGGAATGAAGAACCTTGAGGTGGTCTGGAAGGAAGCAAGCTCCTGAATGCATATGCACTAACAGGTTGCAGTGAATAGTAACATGAT